ATATCTCGTAAGATGACACACCTGACGTCACGATGAGAGACCTCGTCAAATCGGATCATTTAGGGAACTGCTAAACCATTTTTACAGTAGTTTCTGTTAGACCAAAATGATATTACCGAGTTAATGCCACCATAAGCCGTAATTGAATATTGTTGATGTGCCTTGAATATTATTGATGTGTCTCTCGGCTCGCCCGAGCATGAACGAAATATTTGCTAATTAAAATTTAAATGGCCAGATCGGCGCGTACAGTGATGGCTCGTTCAAACAGCTGCGCGTCACATTTGATAGTAACTGCGTTAAGCCGAAAGCGCCGTTTTCAGCAGCTTCCATCTAGCTTCCGTGAACTTTAACCTGCCACTGTTGACGGAGAAGCGTAAACTTACCACGGCACTCTCTGATGGACCACTTTTAGAGAGCGCGGGCTGAGTAGCCGTGGTACTCTCGCAACGTGTTATGTAGATGGATCCACTGAAGAATGGTGTATCATAATCATCATTAATTTCATTGTCATGAGGTCACGTATGTGGATGTGGTATACATCAACGTCGCCTTAAATTGTTACATTTTGCAGATTCGTTGTGTTTTAATGCGATATTTTAATTAACGCGTTATGATTATTAAAAGAATTATATATTTGCGCGTTGATTAAATTTAACAAAATTATTTTGCAAAATTGTGATTTTGTTATTTACGAAAGATATAATTTACTTCAAAATTATTTGTATCAAAATTTTTTCAAAATCGTTTTGTTTTTTTATCATAATAAGATTGATTTTTTTACATACAGCAATCCTCTTATTAGGTTCTTTAATACCAATAAATTGAAGCATTTGTCTGAGAGCTTTAAAACAGCAGGATAAAAGAATTAGACTTTGCACAAAGTTATTGGATGTTCTTACGAACGTAATCCTTGCGCTGCTTGGATTGCTCGTCTGCTTTAGGATGATTTAAATGCATGTACTTTATGGTAGAAACTTTAACAAGGGAATACAATGTCCCTTTGTTGCGTTTATTCGATTTTATCTCAAAGACGACATTATTTCTTAAATATATACACTGTATTTCGTATATTTTCACAAAAAAAAACCCGATAAAAAAATCCGATTATATAATATACTATTATATAATCATCGCTGTCGTCGCAGAAAATAAATCTTTTTGAAGTTACTGAACGTTATTACTCTCATACCCACGAAGCATTTTTGTTTAATTATACAAGCAAGATCTGCTATAATATTATATTGAGTTTACCAATATGAAATAATAATTCAATTTTTTTCTAGAAATTTCTTCTAGAGATACGAGCAAAATTTATATAGGCGGATTTTTAATTAAATCACATGTTTCGCTCGATTACTCGAGATAAAACCAATTTCATTGATTTACACAGGACCGTGACCTATATTCCTCCTGGCAAACTATTTTCCATTCCTCCTACCGTCTTATAGCCAGCCATTTCATTTCCTTTTATGATTTTCTTACACCCAAGGAGTGGCTGATTGGCGAAGGTTGAGAATAATACTGCGACACGTTTGGCGTAACCGCATATATCATATTTTCTACGAAGCATGGAGTTTTATCTTCAAATAGAGTACATCTGTACATTCAATTTTTACTAACAATATAGATAGCTTTTCGTACGCTGTTCTCGTTTCATATTCCTATTTTCTCTTCTTTCATATACGATTCTATGTATAATTAAAAAAGAATAGCAATGACGATGTTTTCTAGTAAGTATAAAAAAGGTCAATGGTCTTTTTTATCAATGTAAAGGAGATATAAAAAAGTGAAATAGCAGAAACAATGAAAAATATACAAAGAATGGAAAGTATAAAGGAAAAATTGCAGAACGTTTTACTATTCACATGGCTTTGTTCAGTCAAACAGAAAGTAAACTAAAACTGAAATATATAAAATTCGTTAAAAAACAATGTTCGATAAAAAAAGAAGAACATTGAATCAATGATGGACTAGGTATATGTAATCGACTGAATTGTGACAGACTCTTGTATTAATGTTACGCTAAATATCCATAAATTTTGCAATTCACATTTTCAATAAGATAAGAGAGTAAGATATTTTTTTATTGATTGATACGGCTTTAATTGAATTGTACCTGACAATGTTTTTGAGTTTTTTCTGGATGTTTTTTTTCACTATCAAAATATTTCGTTGGTCAACAAAGATATCGAACAAATATATTTTACGTCTTCCGAGGCATAGACGAAAATCATATAATAAAGATTTTGATAAGCCATGTTTGTAAAGCTATGTTTAATCTTTTCTATTTGTACAAGTAGCGAGAGAGTAGCGAGTATAGATAAATGTAGAGAATAAAAAAATCGATATTAGTTTTCGAGGGTTCAAAGTAGAATAAAAATCGCGATAGATGGACATCCGAGAATGCCCCGAATTGCGCGGCATAAGAAAAAATGAGCGAATTCCTCCGGCTTGCTGATCGTTGTTTTGCCGGATGCAAAGTAAACGATAGCGTAAATAGAAGAGTGGACAAGATCAACGAAGACAGCGAGATAGGCTGAATCGATTCGCGAACAGTCGAGTCGTGCCGACTGTACAGTCCGTTGGTCAGAAGAGGCTTTGGTACTTGCTTGCTTTGACGATAGTTTTTAGAAGTCGGAACCGTTCTGCTTACCAGCCGTGTAATCTTCGGCTCACTGATTTGGAAATGCCCTCCATAGTAGTTGTACTTTCAATCCCGTGCAGTATCCTTCGTCTCATCGAATAAGTTTGTTGACTATAGTTTCCTGGATCTCGGAATACAATATTATAACGGATACTCGTGCCATGTAATATATATTGCGAATGTATATTGCGTTGTACGCCAGGATATGTAACGTATTGTGAATTGTTTGCATTTAAATATTATTAAGAAACGGTACGACTACGATCTCTCCGAAAAAAAAATATGAGAGGTTGGATATTCTTCTTTCGTCTATTCTTTGATGACTGAGAACATCTTGGAAGTAAATATTAAGTACGCGCTCTATAATAATAATATAACCGGAAATTATCGAATGAAATGTGATAAATTTACGTCAGAAAAAGATTGCAGTAAATTCAATATCTCGAACTGTTGCTTTCGATTCGGTGATTCCAGGAGAGACTCGTGATACCGAACGATTGAAATTTCTATTTTAGAAGCGATGAAGGGGAATGCATTAAACCCAACGATCTGTAAGCGTTTCAACATTCTTAGGAAGCGGTGAAGTTAACAAAAAGAAGCCTTAGCGATCTATCATCTAAATATAATATAAAAAAAAGAACACTTTTCGCAAGTCAAGTAGAATTGACCAATTGAGCTGAAAACTTTACGAAAATTGACTTTAAGAATGATCGAAAAGTCCCGTTTGAGTTTAACTCTAGAAATAAATTTGAACAAATGACTCATAAAATTATTCAACTAAATTCCAAATTTTTCGTGAAATCGTAAAGAGAGAACTTTTTTAATGTACCTTCTGCTTTTTAGTACTTGTGAATCTTTAAAAACACATTTTTCGATGAATTTTAAAAACAGCTTCGATATTTGGCGACGACGAAGGAAGGAAATTTCTTCCCTGCCATCTGCGATGCTCGCATAGCTTTGGAAATATTTTTCTCTTTTCACGTATCACGCATCGGTCTCACATATCGTCGTCGGCCATCGTCCCCTTGGCCATCGCATCACTGTTCGATATTCTCTCTGGCTTCCGGAACTCGGCGCAGATAATCAGCGTAACGCGATTTGTTTTTCCACGTCCGTGCCGCAATCCCAGTTCGGTCGATGTCTTTAGCGGAGATTTGAAAAAAACCCGTTGGAATTGAACGGGAAGACCCGTGGGATAACGAGGGAATTGCATTAGAGCGCGACTGTACACGCGTGAGAAAGATTGTGCTGTTGCAACCTCCGTTCGTTCACGTAATTACCGATCATTTTTACTGTCCGAATGTGTTCTTCGTGTGGCAATCAGTTTCAACAGACGATTAAAGGGGAAGAACTTCGAACGCGTTCACGAATTGCGTTTTAGTACGCAGCCAGTAGGAAGGTAC